GTAGGGGGGAAAAATAAACTCGTAAGATATTTGTAACTTAAACTACGATCAAAGCTGAGGAAGATATCCGCGCACACGAGAAACGAAGCGAAAAGTGTGAAAATATTTTAAGAGCAAACTAAGCTACGCCACTTGCGAGTATATAACTTGCTAATCCATAAGTTAGAGAGCAAAGCAGAGTGAACGAGCGGTGGAGTAGCTAGTGGAACGGAGGTGATCGAGGTGATTATACAGCGAATCGACTCGAGTTGCGCAAGCTGCTGCTGCGAACCTTGGCAAAGCTCGAGGGGTCTAGGTCTTAGCTCTTGCTGCCTCTGACAGGCCTCCATTTTCATTGCGCAGAGGGACGAATAGGTTCTCAGATCGCTGCCGCAAACCGGCCGCATATTTTCCTGAGAAATGGAGGCGCAGTCGAACTTGCAGCTACATCTCGGATAGTCGTCCGGGCCTAGTTCGCAGGTCGCCTCGAAGTCGCAGTTAATGTTCTTGCAAGCCTCGCGTACCTGGGTGCTGGTCACATCAACCGCGGTGGTGGCCAATCGAATCACCGCAGGCGTCGATATCGTGGCTATTAAAAGCGGTTAATGGACGGTTAGAGCAGTTAAGGCCGTTACAGAAGACGTCGTTAGATAGTTAGTTTCGTTAGCGGTTAATATCCGAGAGCTGGCTGGCAGCGAATGATACAACAAGCAGTTGCGTTTATCGCAAGTTTTCTCAGTTGAGATCTGTATTCCAATCGACCAAGTATCAATTATAATTTGTATATATAATTTTTTATTTTAACTCCAGGAAGCTAGTGCCCTTTGCCGTATTATAAACATCTCTTGCGTTTTAATTTCTCTGATACCAATTCTAATTTAAATAACTACTACAGGTCGTATCACAACGGTGAATGTTTTTTAAACTTCTTCCTGCAATTACTTCGTTTACAAAAAGAAAAAAAGAGAAAAAAAATGCGGTTAGATCATAGAAAGAGAGATGGGCGGCTTACTGAGTGCTGCAACAGCGTATCGTTCACCGCAATCGCCGTAGAATATCACGTGCAAGACCGGCAATTTAGGATCCCTTCCGCAAGCTGCCTTCTGCAATTCGCACTCCGATGGGTACGTCTTGGTATCGCTGCCGCACACTGGTTCCCCAGTGCTCTCAGGACACTCGTCCGGACACACGCAGACGCCAGCCATACAATGAGCCCCATGATCGCACTCTATCCTCGCGCAAAGCTCTGAAAACATTCATGTCCTCCTCATGTGTTCCCGATAATCCTCCTTGAATCCTTTACGAATTCATCTTCCCTTTTGCGCTATTAAATCTTGCACTTTTCTTGCCCGACACACAAATGACAAAGAACTTACCACAGTCACCTATGTAACTGACGGTGATTTCAGTTTGAGAAGTACAGGAGGCAGCCTTCAAAGAGCATTCGTTAGGATAAGTCACGCCGTTCGAGCCGCAAACTTTCTCCTGTTCAGGTTCTTTTGACTGAAATTAACATACAAAATGAACGATTACTATGTAAAAGAATGGTCCAATTATCGCTAGTAATTCGATTGCAGGTCTTTGTGCAAGTTCGTATTGTTCTGAACACGATTAATATATTGGACTTATTTGGAGATTTGTTATATACATTAAATATGTATTTTTGTACGTTAAAATTTCCCATAAAAGTCTACCGCTGCCTAGTAATCATATAATACAGTGTTTATTGTATAGTAAATGAGCAAAACTGAACACGCATATGGAATTTTAAAATAAATAATATTTTATCGAATATATATTAGAACACAAAAAAACAAAAAATGAAATGCATATAGTGTTTTGTGAAACATTTTGTTTTTCCAAAAAAAGTTTTACCACCATCGTTATTCTGGCAGATACGAACTATTTTCACGCAGTCAGTTTCACTCCACGATTAATTTAAACGAAAAATTATCGATATTTTTACAACTGTTACAACTTTGTAAAAAAAGAGTCATATAACACTACTTGATTTCATTTTAAAGCATAAAGCTTTTACTTCAATTGCTCTAAATTTGTTTTTCTCTCAAAATACTTTAACATCACGTAGCAAGAGGAAAAACATTGTAAAACTTCACACGAATTTTATTTTAAACTAAATTCAACGTTCTCTTGAAAAGATTGAGATCTTCTCTCCGCAATAATACCTTAAAACTTGCTACACGATTTTTTTTTATTGAACTTTAAACATTGGTATTAGACGACAAAAATTCAAGAAATCCTTGCATTTCGTTATCTAACCTCAATATTCAAAGTTCATTAAAATAGCAAAGAAAACATTGTACAGCAACTTTCAAAGTATCGTTATAAAGTAGAAATTTCAATTTTCAAGAACGAGATCAAGTCGTGAGAGATTTTTTTCTTGTTTTTACACGCGTTTGAATTTTTGCAATTTTCGAGAAAAAAAAATAGCCTTTACTTTTGCACTCGTCACGCGACGTGAAAACACTTTTGAAGAGAACGAATTTATTAATGTAAGATTCTGTCGAGCCCCGAATTTTATAGGAATTAATAGAAGGATACTTTGTGGTTTTAAATAAAGTTTATTAAAATATTATTAAAATAAAAGTCCCAATATAGCAATGATGAAAATAATATTTATTCCTTATCATCTACATATTCATCTACGTCTAAGTTGGAACATATGTGCATAATATACTTTGCTAACATCTTTCCAATGTTTCTGCACCTTCGTAACAGTAAAATCTGATTTCTTGCCGTTTCTCTGAGACATACGTCAAACTTGCAAACTTGCAGCCATTTATGTGACACCTGCGCTGCACGTAACAAAGATTTTGGATCCAAATTACGTAAAATCAGTTGAGATATTTCCAGCGGAAGTTCGGCAATGAAGTCCACCTTGACTAGCTTCGACATTCCACTCTCGTAAAAGTAATCCTTGACGTCCATATTGTCACTATTAATGCCAGAACAGGAATGTTGACACTCTAAAAAGTTTAAAGTACCTGACTTATGTACCTGGTTTATATTTGGATTGTGCACTTGTTCACTCATCATTGAGTGTCTCGATTCAGGCCTTGGCCAATCATGTACGAATATTGGTATATATGTACATTTTTATATACTATATAAAAACATTTTTATATTATATTGTTATGTAATGCGTACTTATATTTGTCATCGTTGCATCGAGACTTCTTCCTTTCAAATTCCCGATGACAAAAATATTGAAGCTCTCGTTAAATATGTACACTGTCACTCGTTCTTCGCTAGAATAATCTCGATCCTCACTGTCTGCTGTCTCATTACTGTCTGTATTCTCTCGCAACTCGCTAGTCTTATATCTTCACCCTCAAATGTCTCAATACTCTCTCTATCTAATTCCTTCACGATTTGTCTCCTCGAAACCTTTCTCATTCATACACGCGCACAAACACAACCATACCCTTTTAAGTCCTATACCTGGACAGCTAAAACAAACATTCTCAGGCCTAGACAATTGCAAAAGACACTCAGCAGGCGATGATTGCCTCGCACCTGGACAATACAGGAAAAAATTTTAATTCCTCAGCCCAAAGTAGAAATTTAGCAACAGACAAAGTAGAGAGCTTTAAAAGGTTAAAAGGAGATTAAGTGAATCGTCATACGATTTTTCTTTTAGTTGTAAGTATCGACAAATTTTCATTGTTACGTGTTCAGTTATACTTCCTACTGTATATTCTGAAAAGGTTCCTATTCCATATTCTGGTTCAAACGACATACTAAATATGACGTTTCCAGTTCATCCCCTATTTTCTGCCGACTCGCCAAGCCAATCTCGTTGCGCGTACAATACGTTCCTGTAGGCGTTCACGTAGGTGGGTAGATTCGTGAAGGAAAACAGCGGAAAAACGCGAAGCTGCACGCGTTTCGCACTTGTTGCACGCGGCCAAGGCGCAGTCGGGTTCTGACATACGCTGGCGTCGCGACGCCGCGCGCCGGGGGATGAGTCGCGCACAGGGATGAGAAATAATACGCGAAAGAGCGAAACTTAATTAGCTGGGCCGTGGTATCCTCGTTGTTGTTTGCTTATTACACGCGTTGTCGGCCAACGTGACTTGCCCTCTGCCGCTTTTCCTCCGTTACTTCTACGTTTTTCCACTGCGTTTTCATGCGCCAGTTATTCTCGAATACGCGAGCCACGTCGCATACTGCGTATGCGTGTATGCGAATAAAATACTTTTTCCGATAAAAAGACTCGTCAAACGAAAAAAAAAAGTAGCGATCGCTTGCATCACGATTCTCGGCACTAAATTTTTAACTCATTGCGGGCCATTTTTGCGATTAATTGTACGTTCGTTCGATCGGTGGATCATCGACCAGTCGATAAATGAAACGACTGCGTGAAAATTGATATTGGTAACGAAAGAAAGAATTTTTTGCGACGAGCAACAGAACGACAACGACCGATCGGTGCTTCAAGCAATTACAGACTGTTTTTCCATGACCCGCGAAACAAAGGCGTTTCGCGAGATGAAATTTTCATTGGATAATCGGTGCTAAAATCCTCTGGAAGAAAAGGCGATTTAGACTTCTTGTCCGCATGAAGAAACTTATTGTTACATTTGTAATTATGTTTAGCCAAGGGCAAAGGCCCGCTTTTTCATGCTGGCAAGAAGTCCTAACGTCTTTCTCGCGCAAACATATCGTGAAAAAATATGGTTTTGATTTTCGGTCGTCGACCCGCGAGCTTATTTTGTTCGGTGTCCTCCAGGAGCGATAGTCTGGCACGAACGTGCAGTGTAAAAATATTCCCAACGAACATTTTACCAATTTATTAAGGTTTCCGATATTCCGAGAAGTGCTGAACTGCAGCGGTAATAACCTTGCGAAGCCTATGAAGGACATTTCAACAGAAATAAAATGCTCGCAACCATCACCTAGACACAATAGTAATATACAACACCCACCATAAATAAGTACCATAATATAAGTTTTTATCCATTGTAAATTGTACTGTAATTTATGAACTTCATTAGGCTTACTACCGTTGCAGTTTAGGATCAAAGTCTCCTCGGACAGCGTGCTCGACTTACCTGATAGGGGAAAATCGGATTTAATGAGCAAGCTTGAACAAAGCACTCTCCGATATATAAAATCACTCTCTCGACACGTCTCTACACGTTCATTTTCTAACAGTTCTTCCTCAGTATTCTTGCCCGTCAATTCGATTCCGTCACAGTGAACGTGAATAAGTCTCATCAGAATCAAACCTCCTGACTTAATTAATCACGCATATTAGTCGATCACGAAACTTAGATCGAAGTCCAAGAAAATACAGCCCCAAATATCCTTACCAACTGTCCCTAAGGAAAGCGGACTGAACGGAGACGACCTCCGTATCCGCGAATTCGCGTCTTAACAGATAGTATCCATCATTCGGTTCAATGCCCTAATTTAACTGACCTGTGCCAGGTGAGTTAACGTATCTCGCTTTAAAATGATTGGCTAGAGGCCACTTGCAAAATGATATAAAACGGGCTCGACTCGGTCGGCACCTTGCTATAGTTGTCCAGAATGCGCTATCATTACAATTCGGGCTATAGTTAACTTTGTTGTATCGCCACAAAATAGTTATCGTCAGTGTCAGTATCATTAGTATCAATCAGAATCTGTAAATTATTCAAAATCATTTTCAAGTTGGACAAGCCGTTTTATAGTCCACACATTTACGACACACACACAATATCGAACACCCAGTACTACGAAGTCGTCAAAAAACGACTTAACATAGACAAGTATGGACAATTCAAGGGGAACAGAGAGTTGCGTAATTCTTGTGTTATGTCGGAACAATTTACTTTGCGTTGTTACATTTTAGATATTAAATTTCAAAGAAACTTATCTGTAGTAAACAGGATAATCTATTTAAAAATATAATTACGAAGCGATGAATGAAGGTTTTCATCCTCGAGTCCTTTTTTCCTCGTTATGTACTTTCCTCCCGATTTAATTCACTCGACGGATTAATAAATATCACAGTTTTGTTTGCATGATAAAGGGCGCGGGGCATAAGCCCCCCCCCCC